TTTGTAAACAAACATCATTTTGAATAAATTTTTGAACAATTCCTTTGAAAAATTTTAAACTCAAAATGTAACCCTTAAGTGAAAGTCAATGTGGTGAAATCATTGTTCTATATAAAAATAATGTATCAAACCACAAAATAACTAAAATTGTTGGTGTTTATAGGAAAACAGTGACTTGTACTATTCAAAATTACGTTGATAGAAAAGTTCTTGTTACAAAAAATTGAAGTGGCTGTCCATGATGTCCTAATTAAATTGATTGAGAGTATGCCAAGGAGAGTTGAAGCAGTCATTGAAAATAATGAATGGCCAACAAGATATTATTATTATTATTACTTTGTTTATCAAATTTTAAATTTTTGGGTATGATTATTATGTGCATTTTTCAACAATCATTTTTTGAAGAAGAAAAAAAAATAGTCAATTTTGGTGATCCTGATTTGTCAAAAAAATTTTGGTCGAAATTTTATTTTTTTGATCATTAGTTTAATAAAAATGTTAAAGATGTGAAATTTTGCATATATAATTTGGTGAACCTAAGTTGCAAAAAAATGTTTTTTATTTAATTATTATTAAGTATGTTTTTGCGCAATTTTTGTTTAAAAATGCGCCTGAGTTTTGTCTAGTGAGTGTATATATATAATAATAATAAATAAACTTTTGTTTAACAAAATTTTTTATAATGAACAAGAGACTAAGAAAAGAACCAAGCAATTCTATTAATCGTGGCAGACAATTTACAGGTGTATGGAGGCAATTTATTTAAGGTCAAGAAAAAGGAAATGGTATATATGAAGGCGAGTTTATAAGTTGTCATAAAAAATGGGCATTTGCAAAACCTGGAATCTTACATTCTCATTTAGCAAATGAATGCAATGAATGTGGAAAAGATGTTAAACGATATTACAATTGGATCATTACAAATAATATTCATGATAACTCTTCTGGTAATTCATATGAAATTCCTGATGATTGGGTGAGGTCTACACCAAATAATAGAAAAATTAGTAATAATGAACAATCTAAAGTTGATTCTTATTATGGTTCCACATCGATTGAACCTTCACGTCAAAAACAAATTGATATAGCTTTATCTGTAGCATTTATTTGTTGTGGGCTTCCATTTAATAT